AACGTCATTTGATTTGTAAGTATATACCTTGCCATAGGCTAAAATTCCAGTAAAATGGCTATAACTCTGGATAGAAGATCTGCGGGAATTTATCCTTTTGGGGTTTTTCATTGGGGTCTACCTTATGCACAGAGTCCGAACTCAAAAGCGACGGGGCAATTGGTGGCCTTCCCTCGTGAGCTCATTTTTTTCCTAAACGCGAGCTTCTAATATGATTGTCGCATGTGTCAATTTAAGTGACGATATTGGTCGTATTTGGTGTATCCGACATAAATTTCATCTTGTTGTAACGAACGGTCTTTGTTTATGGGGTAAAAGCAAGAAAGATAGAGATGATAATTCTGATAGTGATGCTCTCAATAATGCTGTCAGAGCAATACCAACAGAAGATTTAAGTGATGATTTAACAACACTAGCTGCAACTGCTGCAGTGATGGCAACTGCCACATCAGCAGCAGGAATAATTAAGTAAGAATGACATAAAACTCAGAATTTTTTTCGAATATAGAGTAGAGCACGGTGTTTCCATACCGGTTTTCTACTTGGTTGTAAATAAGAAACTTTTTAGAGAAATAAGAAAAACTTGCTACAGATACTAGCCTACCCTTTCATTATGGTAACGACGCTACAGTCATTTCAGGGGTATTTTTACTTTGATTATAGTTTTTAAGCAGAATATCGTAGAAAGGCTACAATCTTTCATTTTGACGAGACTCTATCTTCTACAAAACTACTTAGTTGGAAAAAAAAAGTCATTCCTTTACCGTAACTTTCTGATTTTCTGAAAGCGAGGTTTTTGTTCGACATTTGCAGAATAACTCTTAGCTAAGATAGATTTTATATTACTCAACACTTTCGTTAACCATTTAATGTGAATTTTCTTTCAGCGATCAGCAACCTGATGTTGATACAGCAAGTGAGGATGAATCGGGCTTGGAAGATGATATTGATGATAGTGCTGTTGCAGCAAATGATATAGCGAATGATAACAATTGGGCATTGGATGTAATTGATGCGGATAGTGAAATGGCTCAATAATTGACAGTTGAAGACGTAGGATATCCTAGGTCAGGATTCCAGCAATTCCTGAAAGGATTCGTCCACACACTGGTTCCAACTCTGTTTCCATTGGCTCCAAGCCCAACTGAACCAGCGCTTTCTGTTCTAGGTGTCGCGCTAAAAATCGAACATACTATCAAGGAGAAAATCCGCCATTACAATCAAAAACCGACAGTCAATTTCGGCAATTCTGGGAAACCTGTCGCGATTCGTTTCTTCACTGGCTCCAACTCTATCTTTGATGGCTCCAGATAGAACTTTTCATGCTCTATCGAATGCGCATCCTACTTTTTACTTCGCTATGATCAAGCTTTAATAGATCAATGAGTTCACCCCAAAGAGAACGGTGCAAACCAGTCACAGCGTTTAGTCGCCATGTTTCGGTATCGAGAAGGCTAGTACGATGTTCGAGAG